GGTGGATTGTGGGCAGAGGAAGAGGAGGAGGCTCTGGGGGGTGGGGTTAGGTTCCGGATTAGGGCCCGGTTTGGACACGCGGGGAGGGGAACTGTCGGAAGGGTTGATGGACAAGGGAGATTCAGGCTTACCAGCGGAGGAAGGAGGGGCAGACGGAAGGGAAGAGAAGGAGTAGAGATTAGGGAGGAATTGGTGTGTAAAAAAATGCCTGGATGTAGGGAATTTTAGACCGTTTGCCCGTCTTGCGACAAAAATTGTTGAAATTTTGTAAAATAGAGAGGTTGAAAGTGCCATTTTTTGGCCAATTGGAGCCGTTGTTTGACTTGTATTGTGGCCATGCGGTGTTACAGAAGACGAGACGTTTGGGTTTTAGGTCAGGAGAGAGTTGAGGAGGCTTGAGGTTTTTTAGAACACAGGCCAGCGGAGAGGAGGGAAGGATAGAGGACGGACGATTGCCCATGGTTCTGGAAAGGCAGCAGAGACAAAAATAGGCATGCAACCCAGCCACTCAACAGGCGTCCCTAGTTGAGCCTGGGTTGAACCTCGTCGTTGGTGAGCTGTCAAAGAGAGCGTCCTCTACGTTGACCTACCACAAATATCGGCCAGGAGCCTGGTGGGCGAGTGACTAGGGTGAACGTCTCCACGATAGGCAAACCCCTGGGGAAACTGGGTTCCCGGATCCGTGACCTACGTAGGGATTTTCCGTTCATGAACCTCAAGGAAGAACCTGGTTTACCTGATTTTCCTTGTCTTTGTGGTGGAAAAAGGACGAAACCGAAAGGCGGAGAAGTGGAAAGGAAAAGACAAAAGGATGGGAAAGCAAAAGAGAGACTGCTTACCAAAATAGCCGGTGGTGTGCCTCTGTGGGCTGGTCTGATGACCCCAGGTCGGTAGGCAGATCTCTTCATGGAGGGAGCACAAGAACAGGGTTTGGTCTCCCGTAGGATTTCCCCCGTCCCGGGTTTCCGGCACCAAATATTGAAAAACTCGTGCTTTGAATGACGAGAGCTTCCAAACAGGCGTTGTGTGAGCAGCATGGCTGTTTATTCACCTGGGTGCAGGTGGGCTGAGGCCGAAAAGGGCGTTAGCAAGGGGCAGTGGGATCGGAGTTGGTTTTATAGGTTTGGGTAGTTTTTTGGGGGGCGAGGGTGTTGCAGAGTAAGTTCAGTTACAATGGCAGGGTTGGGTAAGAGGTAATTACATTATCACAAGAACAGTTAAGATGGCAGGTTTGGGTGAAGGGCTTGTTCGGGGAAGCTCTGCTGGGCGATCAGGGACAATCAGGCAGGGGGTGGAAGATATCAGCCGAGGCAAGCAGGACTTTAGACTTTCAGGCTCCAGGCTTGCATATGGAGACCTGACAGTGGTCAGTAGAATCACTGGTATGTGCACTGCAGAGCAGAGTTTACAGAGCCTATGGAGCCAGTGAAGAGACATTTCAACACTTGAGTCTAGCCTAGACCAGAGCTCTGAGTTCATTGTTCTTTCTTGGACCACATTCTTTCCTGGAAAAAAAAAAGTGAATATGCACACAGGCAAGAAGATAACAAGCAATCCTTAGGAAGCTAGAATTGTAGCACCAAACATCCAAAGCAGCTTCTTCCCTCAGACAATGTAGCATTGATCCCTGTATCAGTAACATCTTCCTCAGTGCCTGGCACTGAATAGATACTAGTTGAATGGATGAATTGGCTAATAATAGTGAATTGTTGGCATACTTACTGAGTTCGAAGTGATGGGTAAAATATAGGAGAAACATGTTGAAAGATGTTGTAGATTGAATAGTAAGGGTGGATGGGAGAGGGGAGTTTTCGGGGAGGTCCCAGGGCTGGGGGGGCAGATGCAAGGGAAAAAACAAGTTCTACAGCGTAAGCTCTTGAGAAAAGCACAGATGGGGGGAGATAAGAGAGGAAAAGACCTTGACAATAAGAAAGTTTGCATTCATACTGTGCTCACTGTCCATTGGGGTGCATTCTGGCTCTGCAGGATAATGTTTGACAAGATAATGTGCCAGTTTCCCAGCAATCTAAGAAATCACATTTCCAAAGTTTTCTGGAGCTGTAAGCCCAGGAGCTAACGGAGCTAATGTTGTCCTGGCTGACTGCCCATTATCTCCACACAAATCAAAGTACATTTCCAATGCCACCCCATTTGGAAACTTTTGACATCAGCAACTTGGTGTTAATTTTTAACTTAAAACCACAACTTTAAGAGCAAAAATTTTGTTATTCCAAATAGACAAGAAAAAATTATTTTTCATGTAAATGTTTTAACACAAGCTTAAAACTATTTAGGTATTGGCTGGGTGTGGTGGCTCACGCCTGTTAATCCCAGCACTTTGGGAGGCCAAGGCAGGTGGATGGCCTGAGCCCAGGAGTTTGAAACGAGCCTGGGCAACATGGGGAAACCTCGTCTCTACCAAAAATGCAAAAATTATCTGGGCATGGTGGTGCACACCTATAGTCCCAGTTATTAGTAAGGCTAAGGTGGGAAGATTGCTTGAGCCTGGGAGAT